TTGTGTATCATGTTGTAGTGCTTTAGATTGCAATACATAAACAGCATTCTTTATAAGTCTTATGACTGTTTGATTGTGGGTCAGACTATCACGACTGTTGGCCTTATACTTGTTTAACTGATTCTACTATAAGTCAGAGGCCCTTGTATAGGCGGCCATTCCTGACACAAGCTGCACACGTATCTCTAGTATTGGATCTACCAATAAACAGTTATCTTCTTATGAAGCCCTGTGTTGTGTAACCTGACTAAGGACCCTGACAAATCTCTGGAGAGGGCAGAATTTGGGAAGGGGAGGGAGCTGAGCTGGGTATAAGGCCCTAGAGCCCACCCTCCAACACATCCGCTTTCTCCAGGGGAGCTGATCTTTGCAGACTGGGTATCAGTTTTAATTCCAAAAGATCTTCATGCCCCACCTGAACACATAAAACCGCCTTTATACCGAACCAGACCCTTGGTCCGTCAAGGTCAGTATTGTCTCCACCAGAGGTTCCTAGACTTAGTTTGGCCTACCGCCCCCATTCCAGGGGGAAAAACATTACTCAGCGCCCCCCTTGGAAATCTACCTTCAAGAAGTGGACCAAAAGATGCAGTGATAGATTTGCACGTAGTAAAGAAAGATGCTGTTGGCCTGAAGCCAGAGGCCAGCAGCAGCCACCGCACAATAGCCCAGCAGCGACGCCAGCCTTACAAGGGTGCACATGCATGGCTGTGATTGGCCATGGGAACCCCTTTTCCATCTCCACTTCCACCTCCCTGGTCCCAGGGAAGACCAGGAGGAGAAGGCAGGAAAAGGCTGCTTTAAGATAGGCTCTGGACTCTTCTTTCTTTATGCTTCCACCGCCTCCTTATTTTGATTCAATGCCCCCCCAATTGCACCCAAGGCTCCTACCACCCACCTGGATCATTCCAGCACCCCCCAGGGGGCGGTATTGCCCACTTTGGGAACCAGTGGTCTAGAAAGACTGACAGTGGCTCTCCAGAGTATCATAAGAACAAGAACATAAGAACATAAGAGATGCCAATGTTGGATCAGGCCAAAGGCCTATCCAGTCCAACACTCTGTATCACACAGTGGCCAGAAATACCAGTGCCATCAGGAGGTCCACCAGTGGGGCCAGGACATTAGAAGCCCTCCCACTGTTTCACGTCGCCTACTACCTCATCCTTTTAATTGGAGATGCCCGGGATTGAACCTGACTCCTTCTGAATGCCAAGCAGAGGCTCTGCCATGGACTCATGGCTTCACCTGGAGGTTGGCAACTCTATCAAAGAAATTCTGCCGCCCGGGGACAGCCACCCCAATCCACACCTCGGACTTCCTCACTGGTTTGGAGTCAGCAGGCCCAGGAGGGGAAAACCCCGTACTTCCTGTCAGGGCTCTTTTTGTAGAAAAAGCCCGGCAGGAACTCATTAGCATAATAGGCCACACCCAACAGCAGAAACACATTAGCCTATTAGGCCACACCCCTGACAGCAGCTCATTAGAATATTAGGCCACACCCCCATGTCACCAGAAGTGTGCTCATCCAGCCACACCCACCTTTTGCTTCTTTTTCTGTTTACCTTGTTTGTTGTCCAAACCCAGGGCCTTTTTTTGTAGCAGGAACTCCTTTGCATGTTAGGCCACACACCCCGAATGTAGCCAATCCTAATGAGTTCCTGCTGTTGGGTGTGGCCTGTTATGCTAATGAGCTCCTT